TTCCATGTGTTGTTAACTTCGAGCTACATGAATACGGTGAAGTGGCATACGAACGGTGAGTCGATCGCTTTATAATTTATCTGGCGTTCTCTCATGTCGTACGACGAACGATTCGAAACGACACGTGACGCCGGTTGTGCTTTATCGTTTTTGTTGCGAGCATAGCGATCACGATTATGTATACATATGTGTAGATTAATATTTCATTTTATATTATGGAACAGTAAAATTGATATAAAAGGGTACAGAAGTGTCAGATTGAAAAATTTTATTGTACGCATTATGAAATTGTGTAATAATTTTTTATTATTTATTAATTCTTTGTTACGTCTATTAATTTTTTCATTTTCACTATAAATTTTCGTTGTATTCGTTATTAACAATACACGTAATAAGTTATAAACCTTTTTAATATTACAAGTGCATTTTATCGTAAGTACATTTTACGTTGAAATAATAGCCAATGACCAGTACGTCGTAGTAGCAAAATGCAGTTTTACACTCGAAAAATGGATTTTAGCCAACATTTCGGCGAAATTCTCCACTGTATACGTCTCGACGATCGAATCGAAAACGAGTTCCGGTTCTTCATCTCTTCGGGAACAGGACGTCACGCGTCGTCGTGTTCCTCTGCGAATTTAGAATCCTCGTGGTATCGTTAAAAATACCGCGCGAGAACGTTGGAAGGTTGCAAAAAAGGAGCGAGAGCGATATTTGTTTCCCGTCTGACAACAAATACTCTTGAACAACGAGCGAAACAACATAGATTCCCGATCAAGTTTCAGCCATTATTTTTCAAAGCTTCGCCGACGAGTTTCATATTCGTAGCAACGATTACAATGTCCGGCTTTGAAAATTTTCACCGATTCGATATCGGGTCCGTCGCGGAGAGACAGCCGGATCCATCGTGTCACGTTCATCCCCGTCGTTCTATTTTGCCCGCGATTTTCGCAAGGATTCGCGTCATGCCGAGAAATAAAACTCGTCCACCGTTCATCCGGATTACACTCGCTATTGTCGGAGAATCCTCGAAACTGTACCGTTGCTCGGTATTACCGAGCGTGAAAAAATGGCATTAGTCGTTTCCGGCTTCGCGATAGTTTCCGTCGAATCGTTCTCCGGTATCGTTGCTCGTGTCTTTAGTCTCGATGCTTCCGTATATCGTTGTTTCCGCGTCGTAAATCGATCATCGAAACCCGGGGATTTGAAAACTGCGCTCTTTCGGATCCGCGGAACGTCGACGTCGCGAGATTTATTTGCAAGCGGCACGGCCTGGCTGGGTTCACGTTGGGAAGGCTCAAAGTGCGTTATCTCGCGGAAATAAGTTTACTTTGGAGTTTGGACTAAAGTGTCCGTGGCTTTGGGTTTGTTTTAAGAGGATTTATTCGGGTTTATAGGCACGCGTGCGCTCGTGACAGAGGGTAAGCATGCACGTAGGGGAAAGTGGCGGAGGGTCGCGTGGCGCAACGGGAAGCTCGTGCAACCCGAGTCGAAAACGGAAAGTCATCGGCGTAAGACCGAGGTGGAAGGACCCTGCGAGGATCCTTTCGTTGTTTCATTAATTACGATACTTCGTACACGCCACGCCGGTGTCGCATTACGCCGACGTCTTTCGGATTACCGGCACGCGGTTCCGTTGACAAGTCGATTACGCAGCGAGTCGTCGCGGGCAAGCTTTTGAGTCTAATTGAGGATACCGCTGTTGGATGTTTACGCCGAGTTGCATGCACATTCCGCCAGCACTTTAATCCGATTAACGATCCCACGGAAAGTGATTTAAACTGACAGATTGCACGATAAACCTTTGTACTCGTAATCGGATCGTGCCAATTACACTATGAACTTGAAATTCCATTAGATGATCGTGCGCTGCCGGACAAAATTCGGGTCACCGGATTACACCCCTAAACGAGGTTTTAAATCGTATTAATGATGGCACGGACGGCCATACAGGTCACCGATCTTTCCCGCCGCGCTCTCTCCAGAGAGACAGCCGAGAGCTTTTTTTACAGGTCGTTCGATTACACGTAACGCAGGCAGCGAGAGGCGGTTTCGATGGGAGAGAAAAAATTGCTCGCCCCGGTTGACGTTTATACACCGGAGAAGCGAGCGTTCCGCTAATGCGTGTCAATGCGCCTCCGCTCATTTATAGCTCGATCGCGTAAACTATCGAATCACCGAGCCGTGCCGTGGCAGGCGGCCACTCTCTTTAGACCAGCGATAAAAGGTAACAACGCGAACGTGCTCACCGGCTGCATGGCCAAGATAAACCTACCCACCCTCGTCATTTATTAATATTTAACGCGAACCATTCACGGTCGTGTTTTCTTATTTATTTTCCTTTTTCTTCCCTCCTCCTTCTCCCTCTTTCTTTACACCGAAACGTTTCATATTGACGCCGTAACTCTTTCAATCTAAAGTTCTCCGGGTATCATCGTCCCTCTATCCCAGCATCGCTGTCCCTGTCTGGCTGCAATCGAGTGTACGACCCTCTTCTCGATCACCCCTCTTTATCCATCTCCGTTCTTCTTTCGGATCGACGTGGAATTGGGGATTTTATCGTGACGCTGTATTAACGAACTTCGACGAGCAAAGAACGGGCGCGGATTTAACGGGTGCGCCCGGATCAGAACTGCTATTCTCGTTCGGCAAAAGAAATTTAATATCGTTCCTACCTCGCGCCTTGGATCGATGAATTTCGATGGCTGCGATATACCGGGTTCTCGCTGTTTCGATTACTTTATCACGCTTATCTCGCATAAACAACCACCAGTCGTCGCGAATTTTTCCGTGTGTTCGATAAAGTTTTACGCTTCGAACGCGTGCACCTTCGCGTCTGCAGCGTCGTGACAGCTGACCGACACACACAACCGTGTGTGTGTACTCTCGTTCCGCGGATCTCTGATAAACTCGTATCGTTCGCGATAGACACCGATGCACCGAACAAGATTTCGCCGTATATATATTTATAAATCGCGGATCAATATTTTTGCGAATGCGTTTATCGGTGTTTGACCACGCTGTACGTACGTACGTGGACGTCGCTTCGATCGTCTTTTCTCGGTACACGATAAATAAGCGAAACGCGAGGCGACAGAGATATTTCGCAACGAATCGTACGATATTCTCCCGTGGTATCGAAAAACAGATTCTTCCCGTATGCAAAGGAGACCAGGCTCGAAGAAATCGATGGTTAGACCTGGACCGAGGTGAATGGGGATTGATGAAAATGGGAGCTATCGTACATGCTTCTAACCGTGTTCTTCCTGCGGCGTGTGAATGTGCCCTTAATGATAACCTCCGACTTTTTTTTTCTCTTTTTACCATTGCCAGTTTCCATATCGCGAAAACGGATATTTTATAACTCGCGGGCGAGTTTATTCGAGAATCGCTGCGACCCAGCTACCGATAAACCATCGAAGATTAATGTTGGAATAATTCATAAAATTCTCGTACGATCCCGTGTCGCGAGAGGGAGAGAGGAAAAAGGAGAGGAAGAGGGGGGTGGGAAAAATATCGCGATTAAAGTCAAGATATTCGCGTACACGTTCGCGATCGGTTGCCGCAAACACGATACCCCGGTTTCGATGTTACGTCCCCCTTTATCCCGGCGTATCGGTAAAGTGCTTTCCGATGTGTCGTTGCCTTCGCGGCTTTGCACGTATATTTCATTTACATCGCGGAAAGGAATTAACACGTATTACCGTGGCCAATCCGGGATATTCGGTGACGCGTATCGATTTTTTCGCCGGTCCGGCAAAGTGTTTAACAATTCAATCGGCGAAACTGCGCAAGGATATACGCGATATTCTAACAGAGCGGTGATTTACCGGACGGTAATATAAGGGGATTGATGTTCCCTTTCGAATCACTTTTGGCTCACCACCGTACACGGAGTACGCACAATGGCTATCAATTATAAACGTTTGATTTTTCCGGCTCGCTCTTCAATTATCGTTGCCTGCGTCAACGTGACTGATTGCGTTTGTGCCGACGAAAAGCGGCACGGGAGCGGCCGTGGCGGCCGCGGTTAGGGGATGGAAAAATAAAAGGGGTGGCGGGCTGTGGCGGAAAAAGGAGGGATATAGGCCGACAATCGCGTTCCAATAAATATCCTCGCCTCCGTGTCGAACCGCGCCCACTTCAAATACTTTAATTACTTCACCTATAAGCCTCGTTTATCATCGTTACCCGACGCGTTCGACCTGAAGCCATTAGTGTCGGTTACCCCTTTCGGCTCTCTTTTTTTTCTCCTTCGCTGGCCGGCCACGAATGTAGTTCGTTTGTCTTCCGTGATCGCCGGCGGTCGTGTGCAACAAACGTTTCTGATGGCTCGGATTGATACGATGGCGCGCGATAAATCTCGTCGATATAGAGCTATAAAAATTGGTCCGAGGGCGGGGCTCGATGTACCGTCGACCGGCCAGTCGTTTTTCTTTCGGGACGAAAGTATGTATGTTTAACGGACAGTCGAACGATGATTCTATCGGGTTTAACGACACGGACGGAACGGGATCGGGCTGTTCTCCCTGGTTAATCTACGTTTCGCGAACGTCGATTCGTTTATCCGTGAAATTGCTACGCGACAGGGTAGCGGACTTTGAAGAGGAAGGAGGATCGTTTTCATCCTCCCTCGTCGTGTCCATCGCCCTCTTTTAAATTTTAGACGCGAACACAGGGTGACGTTTATTATTTACCCGTGGAACAAAGGGATCAAGGGAGCCGTGACTTTTTATTTCGCCTCCCCGTCGTTTTCCCCATCCCCCGGGTTCGTGTCTTCTTTTTTCAAGGACCCGTGAAGAGCATCGCATCGAAGACAGACGTTAATAACGACGCCTTTGCCCCTCGACCCGTATCGCGATGTAGACACTCGCTTCGCGTGACTCCGGAGATAAATCTGGAAGGGGTGACAGGGGGGATGATAATAACGAACGGGGACGTTCCGCCTTTTTTCTACTTTCCCAAGTGTTTACATGCTTTTCTCTTTTGTTTCAACCTAGGTACGGGATCAGAGTGGATCCGTGGCAATGGGTTCTCTTCTTCAGCGGCAAATACGAAGGTGGCGAGGAGCATCCGTCGATTCTGCTCATCATCTGTAAGTCCTTTTCACGATATCCGACCGCGAAATTCGCCAGGTGGAAGAATTACGAGGGACACGCTGGGATCTTTGCGAATTTACGCGTGGATAAAACTCGAGGAAAAGAGAAATATCGCGATCCGCGTATCGCGCGAGACTTATCAAAGACGCGAGAATCGCCATATATTCCTCCACCGTATTTTACTCGAGCGACGAACGCGACTTTTCTCGAAAGCGCGGCTATAGAGGCGTGTTACGCAAAAGTGAGCAGCTGCAAAAAGGTAATATGCGCCAGGAACGTGGGCAAAAGCTGCTAATTTGAATGTAAAAGTAATTAGCGTGTGACTCGTCCGCGACAGGCTGGACGTTTCACCGTAACGGGCCTTCCGCGGAGACAGCTACAATTGTTAGCTAAATTTCAAAGATCTCCACCGTGTTCCTCGAAGGCACGTTTCAACGCGTGCCGAGTTTATCGTAACTCATTCGAGATGATGGCCAGCAGGGTGTCCGGTTCGTAGATAAACCGTCGACCCCTGAATTCGGATTTATCGTCAAACGCAGGACCCTTTAAACCGTCGTTTAAAGCTGAAAAGGTACGAAATTTGGCGCGGTGACGCGGCGATACGCGTAAATTTCTCCGCTCCGGCAAGCTCGCTTTCGCCATCTGCGAGCCGCCGCCTACGCATTGTCCCTTTTACCGTGGTGCGCGATGCACTCGGTTATCCGCGTTTTCATCCGGAACCACGGCATTCTCCGCTGCTGCGAGCACACCGAGTCGCGAATGTTTGCTTTCTTCCTTTGGTTTCGCCACTTCGTGGAAAATCGGCCGACCGGGCAGCGGTGAATTTTCCGCGCGTCGCGACGCGAAGAGTACGCGCGGAATCCCTTTCGTCCGATCGTCGATCGATCTCTTTCGTTTGCGATTCGATAATTCCTTGCCGCCGCTAGTGTCCCACGAGTGATTCTTTCTCGATACCATTTCATCCCGAATCGAAGGATCGCTTCGGTGGATGCAACTGGATAATTTATTAACAACCTGTACATCGTCGTTAATTCTCGCGTCGCACAACAGTCTGCCGCGCGGAATTTGCACGGCACGGTGCGACGTGCCGACTCGCTCGATTAACGGGTACACGGTTTCAAATACTCGACCGGTTACAGAGTTAGTTACGCCTAGAACGAGTAGCCGGCGAGCGAGTGACCTACTAAAACCGTCCCCGTAAGTTGCACCAATTTGCCGATACTCCACAACTCTCGAGGCTAATTATCCTCGCGATTAGGTAGCGAAATTAATTTCTCCACGGGAAACTTTCCCTCTGTGCGGCGCTTTTACAAAGAACCTCCGGCGCCTGATTCTGGGGGCCTCGATGCTTCGGGAACACCCCGTGAATATGCGTTTAAACTCTCGTTCCGCAGCTGCGCCGGCGGGTTGCACGGCCGCGTGCAAGCCTGCAGATTACACGTACAGGGTCACAGGTACAGGCTAGAGAGGCTGCAAAGTAACAACGGGGCGCGCGGGAGGTGAAACGGGGATTCCTGGGGGTGGTAGCTTGCATTATTTACACATGAGGGAAGGTAATGCTCATAGGGAACTACGGTTAATAGCTCTCATATTTCAGAATCTTCGTCGTACCAGCCCTTCTTTCCTTACCGCCCGAGCCTTTACGTCCCTCCATTCTGCTTTCTTCCTCTTTTTATAACCCCGACTCGTTCGTTGGAGCGAATACACCCCTCCGGCGTGTTGCCTCCTATCCGGTGGCCGTGGCTCTCGCATAATAATTTTCACGGCTCCTGTACGGCCTGGCTGCCGAGATTGCTTTTTAAACGGCGCCCAGCCAGGATCTCTCCGAGTTCGCGGCTCGCTCTTTCGCGATTAGGGGATTAATTATTCCGTGGACGTCATGAAGCGCGAATTATACCGTTTAAACGGCTGACCTCCGTGATTTATTCCGGGTTTCCAGCGTTGATTAGCCGTCCGACACACTTCTTCCCTTGGGATTCTGCGAGCTTCTGTTTTTCTTTTCCCTTTCTTCTCCCACTCTTTTCCTTCCTTTTCGGATTCGTTTCCTCTAATTAATCTTTTCGACGAGATGGAGCTGACAGTTTTACGAGAACCGGTGAATTTCCACTGCTCGTCGCGGCTCTGCCACTCGGTCACGCTCGCATTCTGATCCCATTTCCCGGAATTGTTTCGTTGATCCGTCGGGATGACCGGTCGCTCGATAGGCCGCGGGAAATGTATTTTTCATACTCGCACGCGGAGCGTTAATTGCATACTTTACTGCAGCGCCGCGATGCAATTTCGCCACGGCACTTGGCCGCGCGAATCGATGTCGAGTGGGTCATCGAGTTAAGGGATGCGTTATGACATCGTTGTTAAAGTTCCACCGGTACTCGAAATCTGCTTTTCTTCGCGCGGAGAACGCGCCTGTCAAACAATCGCGCGTTCCACGGTGCTTCGAATCAGCTTCCATTTTTATTTTCGCCCGATCCGAAACCATTTCGCTGTCCAGGGGAACGAAACACAGACGTTGCATTAGGGGTATAATTGAATTCCGTTAAAAAAAGCCCGAACGCGATAAAACCGACCGCGCTTGTTCGCCCCTTTCCTCGGATTCACATATCCCGGCCGAAGTAACTGCGAAAGTTTAACTCGTCGGACCGAGGGAAAGCGAAAGAAAAGGTAGACGGAGAGAATAGACGCACTTTCGCGGCATTCCACCCCCTTGCGTTTCTTTCAGCGAAGGAAACGCTGCTGCTCGACCACCTATAGCAAGCGTCCGTTTGATGGTTTTGCAGAAGTTTCGGGACGGCGAGTTCGCGGTAACTTAAAGTTAACTGTAACTCAATGCGCACGGTTCTCCAGTGACATAACTAGCGAAGAGGGAACGGCGAAGGGGGCGCAACAAGCAGACGGTTCGCGACTCGTTCGCGATCCTGCCTCTGAATCTCCGTTGGCAACGTGCATCACGTAACGAAATCCTTTTCGCTTTTCGCTCCACGAGATATCTGCAAAGATATTCGAAAGAGGATCGCGAGCGAAATAAACGCGGACCGCGGGGAAGTATTAACTTCTTAGGTACTTTTCCCACTTGTTTCTCGTTTAAGAAAATCTGATCTCTGGAACCGTGAGCCGGGCTTCGACTCGGCGAAAGAAACTCGCGCTTCTTTCGGCGAGAGCCTTAAATCAATCTGTCTTAAGTAAACTCCAATCAATTCCTTAAACGTTTCGAGGCGCTTGCATACACCCCGCGAGTCCGATTCCCGTGCCGCGCTAATGGATAAAGCATGGTTAAGGGTACGGGCTGGAAGACTTTTCGAATTAAACAAAAATCAGCTAAGCCCGGCGCGTTTTAAATTAAGCTGGAAGTGACGGTGGGCCGGAACAAAGACAAATTGATATATGAAATCAATAATTCTTCCAGCATTCGGATCCACTCGTGCACCGTTCGCCCGTGCACGAGTGACCTAAATCGGGGGTGCGCCGTCGAGCCGAGCTCGTGCGCGAAAAATCCAAGTAATTATCACCGATATCGGCCACTTGGAGCAGATTTTCGCCGCAGCGGAGGAGAATTAATGCCATCGATGCCCTCGCATCCCGGGATACGAGCCATTGAAATTTATTTTCGGCACTGGCCGCGCGCGGAAGGAGACGAGGCTGAAAGAAAGGGATAAAAAAGGGATAATCCAGGGTTGAAAACCGCGCGAGAACGTCGTTAGCCTGGTCGAAAGTTGTAGCTGCGAAGCGGCCATTGAAAGGAATAATTCCACCTTTTTTTCCACCATGGACCACCCCCGCCCCATTAACGATCATCGTCGTTTCCAACGATGGCCGGCCTATGAAACAATCGGCGGTCCGGCAAAAGTTCGACTCCATTCTGCGCGATGTACCGATTCGGCCGGCGGAATCGCTTTCAAATCGAATTACGGGTCGGCTAACTTTTCTCATCGATGTAGTTGCGCAGAAAGAACGACCCGGAGTAAGGGATGAGGGGGTGAAAGAAGAGAAATAAAGGAGAAAAACAGCTGGCAGGTATCACCGGTTATTCTTGGCCGAGAGAGGGATGTTAAACTTTTTCCAACGTTCGTAATTGACGTGGATATAAAAATTTTTCGACCCCCGGTCGAGGTAATTCGAACAAAAGGGTATAATAAAATTCCATCGCGGAAGAGGATAACAAAAAGCCGCAACGCCAATAGTAGCGCGAACACTAGCTCTCCGTTTCTGCAGCTGATTTTATTTCTCCACGGGAACCGTAGGCCATCGCGATGATTCGACCGCGTTGCGTCCATACACACTCCGGCTCGCATGCTCGTAGCGGCGGGAAAATCGTGGAAACAGATTTTCGCGTAGCATCGTGCAAATTCATGGGTACTATGGGGGTTCGGTCGTGTTAGCGGCACGGCCAGTGAAAACGGTAGAGACGCGGCGCGAATCCATGTATGAATTACTTAATCCACTGCCTATACACGACCCAGGCTATAATAATCGAATTAAACGCGAGATTGCGCCTGCGAAAAGCCTTTCACGCATCCACCATCCGTGCATCTGGTTTCAGCGTCTATCGTGGTCGACGTAGCTAGCTAAATACCGTGCTTATCAGAAACGCTTGTCGACTTTGTATCGCGCAATCGGGGTGGGTTCCTCACTCGGGATCGGAATCGAATACTAATTAGCCACGCGACTTACACCGCTGGAGGCTTGACCAGGGAATTACCCAAGGATTGTTTAATTTTTTACACCGCGTTCGAACCGAACCGCGCGTTCCGTCGAGTTCTTTGCCATCTTATCAACCAGCGTGACGCGTTTGATCGAAAATAAATTTTAAATTAAAAATATTACGGAGCTTTGATTCGGCCCGAGTCTTTGACGATATGTATCACGCTCGAGTGGTTAAATACACTTCTCTTTCTCCTTTCTTTTTTCCCCCCTTTCTGTCCTCGTTTTGCGCATTCGGATCTACAAATACGCAGCGATCTGAGAGATAGAAGTTCAACGGGCAAAGAGAACGAGCAAG